AAAAATTAAATATTTAAAGTCTTAAGCCAAAAATAATTAATAATTACAATAATTAATAACTGTAGAATAATGTCTCAAAAGAAATCAAAAATTCAGAATTATGAAAGATGTTAAAATAATAAAGTTATACTTTGAATTGGTAACAAAGAAAAACGTGAATTTAGGCAATAAATTATAGTATAATTGATGGTTAACTTTAAATTTGCCCTTTTTTACCAAATAATTATCATATATACTTTAATTTTTTATTTTATAATTAAACTTAGAAAAATAAAAAATCAATATCTTAGGGAGCCCTCCACCACTGCTTTGAATTAAAACCCAGTTGATGTGGCGACCGTTCGATTTCTTTATCTCTTTCTTGTTGTTTATTTTTTTATAAAAAGATATATTTAATATGTGCTTAAAAGTAAAAGTTATGACTTATTAGTTATGGTATTTCAAATTAATTTTTTTATAAATTTTAAATATAAATATATATTATATTATATTTTTATTTTGTATAAAATTTTATATAAAATTAATTACAGATAATACAATTAACGAGGCTAAACCTATACCCGTATTAAATCCCTCCAGTTACTATCAAGAAGAAGAAGTTCAATCACTCTGGGATTAAGGTCCCCATGTCTGAAGGGAGCACTAAAGGCTAAATCATTTAAGTCCTAGAACCAAGTAGAGATGGTTAAGAACCGGGCCTTATGGCCCAATGGTTCGCTCTCAAGCCTTAGTGCTTGGATGAGATGGTGGTCGGAGTTTCGAGTTCTACCACCGTTATGAACTCCACCAAAATGCAGCCTAATTGCAGCGCGCCTCATTTGAGGGGGTGGAATGTTCACTCGATCTGAGGACCAGCTACTAACAATTAACTCACTAACTTTCTAATCATTATTATTGTAAAAAAAAAAAGAGAAAGTAGAGATGGTTAGGGCTGGGACTCTGGGATTAAGGTCCCCCATGTCTGAAGGGACCACCAACAGCTAAATCATTTAAGTCCCTAGAGCCAAGTAGTGATGGTTAGGGCTGAGCAAACAGTTGGTTAATTAAGTGAGTAATTAAAAACTGATAAAAATTAACTAAATGGCTAGATACAAAAAGTTATTGGGTTTTTTTTTTTTTTTATTTTAGTTGGATAACCAAAACAATTTAGTTGGTTAATGGTTAGAGGGTTAGAAAACCAAAACCAAATATATAACCAAAAAATAAAACTTTATATTAATAAATAACTAATAGTTATTTGAATGTTATAAATAAATAAAAATCATCTTATTCAATCTCATATTCAAGTTTTACCTTATAAATTTTGTTATAATTTAAAATATATCTAAAAGTAAAAAAGTAAAATTCAAAATTCAGATCTTATTTTCATTTATCCATTTTTTTTTACATTTTATTATATTTATATCTCTTAAAAATTTTAAATTTTGGTTAAGAATAGTCATTGTTAAATTTGAAATAAGCATTGTTGATTTGGTTATAACCAATGACAATAAGTTAAAATCAATTATTTTGGTGACTGAACCAAAAATACATAAACATTTTTAGTTCAATTTTGGTTGCTAAAAAATTAAAAAAAAAAAGAGGATAATTTAAATATTGATTTCTTTTAAATTCAAACTAAATTGTGCCTCACCCTAAAGATGGTAATTTCACTCATCCCCACAGCCCACGAGGATCCTTGTCACAAGGATGGAAGGAGAAAAATACACTTTTTAGATGGGGTGAGGAAGAATATTCTTTTTTGTTAAGTGGAGACATGAAGTATTTTCTTCATGTGAAACTTTATTAGAAATTTTTCTTGCCGAAAAAAATCTCTTATCTCCGTGAAATATTAAAAAAAAACAAAAAAAAAAAACTAAATCTAACACAATTTAAATATTTAACTCATAATTATATGCATATTATTAATTGTTTTTAATTTTAATTTAATACTAAAATTTAATTATTTTAAACCAAATCAAGTCCAATATTTTTTTATTTTAATTTAACTATTTAAAATATTTTATTTTAAAATAATAAAAATAAAATAATTAAATTAATTTTACAATATAGATTAACAGGGACAAGGAGTCCCACAGGAAACAAGGACAGGACAATTTCTACCCCGATCAAAAAATCATTGCGGGGATTCATGTTCCCATGATTCACAAGAATCAGGTTGGGAAGGCACTCTCCGACCTCATGGGTTCGTTGCCATCCATAAAACTGAGGGTATAAATACACTTCTTTTTTTTTTTTTTTGAATAAAGGGTGTAAAAACACTTTGTTTTACTATTAAAAGATGAATAAAAAAATAGTTTATTTAATTACTTGAAATAAGTTTTTTTTTTGAACAAATTTACAAGGAGTCAGATTTAAACCATTATTTGAAAAGAGAAATATACTTTAAACATGACTTGACATCACTAGACTCGAAGACCCAAGTGCAGTGCAGTTACTTAAAATAGTTGATTAATAATATCAAGTATGAAATCAGCTTATAAATCAGTATTTTTAAAATCCATAACTAGCTTAAAAAATTCTATAAACTATAAAGGGAAAAAAATAAAGCAAACCA